ATAGCAGTGTGCTATGTGAACAGAGCTTGCAAACAGAATAGAACCCACCTTGAGAAATTTTAGCTCAGTAATGCTTAGCATTAAATGACAGGTTTCACCCTGACAACACTTTAGAATTTCTCCCCTAATTAATTTTTCAAACACTCCTTTAATAATGTTTCAGTTTTATTCTTTAAAGAAAAACCAAGGGAGAGCTCAGGCAAAGCGCCTTTCCTTTATCTCCTAACGCTCAGTAATGCTTAGCATTAAATGACAGGTTTCACCCTGACAACACTTTAGAATTTCTCCCTAATTAATTTTTCAAACACTCCTTTAATAATGTTTCAGTTTTATTCTTTAAAGAAAAACCAAGGGAGAGCTCAGGCAAAGTGCCTTTCCTTTATCTCCTAAAACAGAATCGGAATTAAACATAGGAAGAGGCGATCTTGTCATATAGATTTGTGGTTAGAACATTTGGTCATGACCTTCTGTAATATTCTCAATCAAAGACACTGCATAGCGACAGACATGCGTTCTCAGGTATTTCATTTTTTAAATAATTACTGGCTTACTACGGATCATAGGTACACAAAGAAACAGATGATTAAATAATAGGAATTTAAAACTTTCAGATTTTGGACAGGGGTAAGTGATATAAGCACCATAAAGAAATGATGCACTAGAAATTGAATTTAATAACTGCTACCAAAATTATAAACAACTGCTGATTACTTAGAGATATGTTATATGTTCTGAGCCTTCCAGATGGTTCTCCAATGCCAAGGGCTGACATTCACTTTTCATGGATGATAGGATTTCTAAGTATTGATATGTGTTTAATAAAACTATGAGAGGGAGAACAGGAGGTCCTATAATTCCACACCCCTAAAATGCTAGCCACAGGGGACTCTCAGGAGACGTAGTCACCACACAACTGGTTTGTCACTAAGGAGAAGCACCTTGAGCAACACTGGTCCTCACTTGGACAGCATCTGGCAGCGAGGCCCACGTAGTCCTGTGCTTACTGAATACCGCTTTTTGAGGCTGACAAACCAAGTAAGTGAAGAATACTCAGTATCTTATAATCTCTGTCCTTCTAGAAGCTGCAAATTGAATGCATTTCAAATAATAGGTAAGCCATTACAAATAGATTTGCTGAATTCGAAGGAAACTACAACTTCAATTCTTAATGATGAATGATTATATTTTTCAGCATATAAATGGAAATAAGCTCATTAATTTTTTTTAAAAAAGAGGAATTACTGGAGGCAAGATTAAGATCGACATACTTGGTGGATTTCTTTTAGTAGAACTATGTTGAATGATTTTCATCGTACCTAATTCAATGAGGAAGAAGCCACCAGATCTGCTACCTCTTGTGAACATGAAAGGTCTGGATGAGCCTTCTATCCGGGTGGCTAACTGGGAAACTAGGAAAAATATTTCTATTTCTCTTCTATGTTTAGTCTGGTCTTTCTTGAGTACGGAAGACGTTTCATTCCAAATGCACAAAGATACCTGAGATGGCTCACATTTACTCCAGCCTTACTTAAAAGGTAAGTTGTTTGAAACTTCATGTACATCTGTAAGAGACAAGCCTCCCAAAATGTGTGACAAAGTTTGGGAACAAACTTTAACTTTCTCTGGAAACCCGGCAAGCCCCTCGGCTCTGTGGGTTTAAGGAGTGGTCCCCTGGGAGCTGGGGACCCTCTATGGCCGTGCCTGGGACCCTCATCAGTGGTGGCAGGGTGGGGTGAGCAGCAGATCCTGTGGTGCCACTCTAGGGACACCCACGGCCTAAGGTCATGAGTGAGAATTCTTCAATGGGGCTGGTTACACCACAGAAAAGAAGATCCTTCTGAAATTATTACCCTTTTTGTCAAATAATTTTGTAAAATGTGATGGTAAGATGCCTTCAGGATTTCTTCTGCACGTTTGTGAGCAGATTAATAATAAAAGAATCATGAGCCCAGCGGAAAGCAGTGAAAGGGCAGTGAGGTCCCCAAGTGTCCAGTCATGGGATCAGCCCAGAGGCCTCTGATGGAGGTGGCATTTTTCTCTGGCCCCAATGGCAAATCTCTTTTGCTGCCATTTCTTCTTAATGACACAGCTATGGTGATGAGGAAGCTGTTGTTACAAAACTCAAAAACAATTAAAAACACAAGTGGACTTCTTGCCTGTGCTGTGCAGAAAGATTTAATTCCGCTTTAGCTTTCTGATGGCCTCGAAGGTGTGTGGAGAGGCGGCGGACTTTCAAAAGTATATTTCAGATTCACAAATGCAGAGAAAGACCAGGAAGCCATCGGAGATAAGGACAGATACCTGACCCTTCAGTTAGGTTTTTGGTCTACTTTAAGAATCTGGTGAAAGCTGCCGACCTTCTCTAGGCAGAAAGCAATGTGCGTGTGAATGCACACACATACGTTTGCCAACAATTCCACCAGGGTCTCTGAAGCTCTAACATCACAGACACCTCATTAACCCATAGTCAAACTTGAAGGGCTTATCTGGAGGGTTCCTTACGGAAAGTTCCAGTGAATGTCAAGATAAATTAATAGACTTCGTTGAATTTTGTCTCAGACTCAAAGCAGAAAGATATTAATTTCCTCTCTCCCTGCCTCCTTCTCTTTCCTTCCTTTTTCTTTTCCTTCCTGCCCTACCAGAGAACAGCCAGATGAAAAACAAGCTAAACATCAAGTGAGTAGATTAACAAAAATGATAGTTAAATCGTTTTACATTTAACAGTTCCCCTCTTGTGCACAATGGCTGTTGCCTGTTAATGACTTATCTTTTGTTTCTCCCTTACCTGTGATCCTCACAGCAAATCGGCATGTGGGGGGGATGTATTGATATTACTCCTTTACTAATGAAGAGCTGGAGCCTCAGAGAGATGCATAATAGAAACAGAAGGAAAGCCCGTGTCTCCCAACCTTCACTAAGATGTTCTTCCCACAAGGTTGGGCAATGTAAGAAGTAATCATCCAGGCCTCAGGGCAGGTTCCTAGGGGAGAACTGCGGTGGACTATCTCTTGAGAGCTTACCACTTAGAACAGCATGGCTAACAGACAGGTATGTAAAACAGTGATCTAGAAATAATTTCATAAATTCTCACATTGAGCATCTCAAGAGGTCACTATGTTTTA